AAAATGCAACAAATAATATCTTTTCCCCATATCCTATCTCTTTTCTATAAACAGATCCATAAAAAAACTTCATAATTTCAATCCTGATATCAGCAAAAGTCCTTTAAGTGTTGCAAGAGATAGCAACATATAATTTTAATCTTAATCAAATAAACCAACTTTATTGTTTTACTTAACCATCGTGATCTTTAGTCCCTTCTGATAATGTGCTAGAACTTGATTTATTTTCATTTTCTACTTTGTCCCTTCTCACAAAATTCTTCAATCTTTAACAAGCCTCTTTTGTAAATCCAATATATGTCCTTTCTATCTGTAGAGGGATTTTTAAAGACCCAGTCTACTCACTCTACTTTTTGTGGAACTGTCTTCAGTCTGCCATTTCTTCCCTGGAAGTCCGGATACCTTTGTGTTTAGATCATAGTGTACAAGAAGTGATGTGCAATCCCTCTTCTCTCTTGAGTTGTGCTGTGATATCAGTAAGAATTTTGGGTGTGCCACTGATCTCTGCAATAGAAAGCCTTTGGATACATAAGATAGCTTTCTCATGAACTGGAATGCTCTTTGCTGCTTTTCAAACAGAATCTAAATTATAGAGTTGGAAGGATTCTCAAAAGTAATTTAATCCAACTTGTGATTGATGCAAGATCTACTAAAACATTTTTGAAATGATGAATTTTACATGAGAATGTTTTTTGTCTGCATAGACACTATGTTAACCATAAAAATGAAAAAGCTTTGTGCACCTGAATGCAACTATGTTTCTCTTTACTTTACAAAAATACCCTAGAAAGCTAGGTTTATGCTAGGATTGAGAAATTCTTGGGAAATAAGAGTTTTATAAGAAGTTGGAAAAATAAGTCTTATTTAAACCATGGTTTCATAGCTTGGCATTTTTATCCAAAGCAGAATATCCAGATTCAATCACAGTTTTGTTCCATATAGCATCAACCTTGTGAATTCTCAAGTCTCCTCTTTCTGCTATGTATTCAAAATGGACAGTGATTAATATATGTGTGTGTAAGTGTATATATATATATGTGTGTGTGTGTGTGTGTGTATGTATATGTATATAGCATGTATATATGTGTGTTATGTATGTGTATGGGTAGATATATACTTTCTTTTGAGAGCAGGCAACAGAATTTCATTTTTAATGTGGGCCAGTGTGCTCACAGTAAAAAAATGACAATAATCACCTTATCTTATCTTTCTTTATCTTTATCTTTCTAGGATCAGCTGCAACTATAAGCTATAATTTCTTGGCTTACTTTTCCATTTAGCTGAGAGGGTAGGAAAAGTCTTTGTGATGAACTACATGAAGATATTTTATCCTTAAGGGGAAAAAATGATGGTACTTTGCATGTTTAGAAAAAATAATTATGACTGATGGATAGGAAGTATGTTTTCTGAATAGGATTGCATTAAGGACAACATGAAGAATCAACAAGGAGTTACAAAAAAAAAAGAATCCCTACTGGGCTTGTTCTTACTTCTATAAGTAACTTCACCTACTAAAGAAAGAAAGAACAAGTCAGAAGGATACTGATTTCTTAAACACGAGTGGAACTTCAAATCCTTATAAAAATTAACTTCTATCTTTTCAATATAATTTCTAGATTTAGTCTACTGGAGATAAGAAAGAATACAGTACCTGGCAGGAGCTGTTGGATAAATGACTTTTATATGCTGGAAAGACAAATCTTGCTTCAAAACTTGCTTGATCCAGTCTCTTACCCCTTGACCAGTATCACCTGAATATAGCACAGAAAGATAGAATTGAATTAGACATCTATACAATGGAACAATGTGAGCTGTCTTATGAACCTCAGAATCCATCTTGTCCATCCAACTCTCTCTTTTCAAACTTCATTTTAGAAAAAGTACAACTGGTTGCTTATAGAAACCAAGCCTAATGGGCAACCAATTTTCAAACATCAATAAGTAAGTCCTTGACTTACAACATTATGGAGCTTGTCACTATGGTTGTAAGTCATAATGGCTGTAAAGTGAGACTTATTTCATGACCATTTTGTAGTGGTCATTAAATGAATCACTGAAGTTATTACACATACTTGAGGTTGTTAAATGAAGTCATTGTTTGCCATGGGGCCTTTTTGCCAAAATCTGGGAGTAAATGCTATTAAGTTATGGTCATGTGACTGCGGGACCCTCTGAATGCAGGCCAGATGCCTGAAATGTGGGGATAGCCTTCAAAACTGAGTTATAAGTACCTTTGGAAGGGTCTGTCAAACGTTTGAGCAGTTGCAAAGCAACTGATTGTAAAACAAGGCCTGTACTCATCTCCACTAAGGAAGCCCTTTCAGGTGTCCCTATCCTACTGAGTGCAAGAATCCAAGTTTATAGAATCCTTGTCAGCTCTCTTGTCTCTGCTTGAATGCATCCAATGAAGGAGCACATACTACCTCCCTGATAGCTGGTTGATACCACAACCAACCTGCTCTTATTGCTTAGAATTTCTCTCTTAATGTTTAACTGGGATTTGTTTTCTGAAACTTAAGACCATAATTCCACGATTTATATACTGAAGTGATAAGACAGCAATTTTTGGCCTTCTATTATGGGAGAGATAATTGAAGATTGCCTTTATATTTCAATATAATATATTTCAATATAATACGTGATACACAGAACTAGGCCAATTAGGGTTTGACCAACACATCATGAACTACAACTTCTTATAATATGGACCCTCTGCTTTGGTTGACACAGTCCTACATCATTGCAACCCTAAAACTGTGCCTTTTAAAAAAAAATGCCAATCAACAGACTAATGACCTTAGGTTTGGCTCTGTTAAAGGTAAAGATAACTGTTGATACTACTTTTTACTGTAAAAGGGAAAACCTGAAAATTCCAATGAGTAGCAAATACAGATTTTAAACAGTTCTCCAAATTATTGTGGATGAAGGAGGAACAATTCCATATTGTTATTAGTGAATACTCAGTCACTTTCCAATAGAGCAGGGATCCCCAACTTCAGTCTGTGGGCCAGCACCGCCCATGGCATGCCAGAAACCGGGCCGTTCAAACAAGTGAAGTCCCATCCACGGGATGCAGGCAGCATACAAAACCACACCCCCTCCGGTCCATGGAAAAACTTCTCTCCTCAGAACCG